CTGTAACACACACACACACATCTGTAACACACTCACACACACACCTGTAACACACACACACACATCTGTAACACACACACATCTGTAACACACACACACACACATCTGTAATCACAACACACTCACACTGTAAGCTATCAAACATAATCTACAGATCAATACAGAGCAAACAATACATATGTAAATATTATATCTGTGTTCTTTTATTAAGTAGATGTGCTAGTTTTGAGTGTTTTGACGCTCCCAGAGATCTGTCTGTTAATTATTCTCATCTTAAACACACAGAAAAACTCCTGCTGAAGCGACGGAGATCCTCGAGACACTGTTATAAAGATGGCGTTTATTAAAGAGGAGAGTGAAGACGTGAGGATTGAAGAAGCTTTCAAACATGAAGATACTGAGGAACAAACAGGTTGGTTTTCATTCTTAAAGTCTTTCTTCAGTCATGTTTCTCTTTATTGTGTTTACTGCATGTAACTCGTGACGAAATGAATGACATCACAAAAATAATAACCGAAATAACCAAAAAAATGTTGTGTAACATTAAACCCATATCTACTTCTGAGTTACAAGCAATGGGAATCATCAGTTTATATCACAAAAAACTTTACATTTGTTGTCTACAAATGATATGCATGTATAATTGTTTTTATGTTTGTCACATTTTACTGTGATGCACAAGGGTAGATGATAATATTCAAAAATCTTCACAAAACCTGTTCTCCCAAAACCTCACAGTACAGCTGAGAGGACCGTGTTTGTCGAGTCTGTTACAGGTGAATGGCAGGGTTGAGGTCTGTCTGTAAGTAAGCAGTTCTCCTGGGTCAGTCTGTGGGTTATAGTCTGTTTTCTGTTTGCAGCTTGTAGAGATTTACAACACTTGGCATATTTAAGAGGTTTCATTTGTTTCTGTTGAACTGGCCATTACAATACCCATAAAACGAATGAAATATCTACAAAGTCATCATGATGCTCTATAAACCATAGAATAGCGCCATCACAAGCAGATTTGGGTCATTTTTCTTAACCAAAATACCAATAATACCCAAAAAATACTTTTAATTAAAAACAAGCCCGAAATACACCTGGACTCTTATTTTGAAATGTCTACACTATTGCGGCCTGATCCTTCAGATGAGAGATAAAATATGCATTCTTACAACCGTCTAAAACTTATTATATAACGGTCATAAAGTAGACATTGTCATGATTCATAATTCAATGTGCGCTATTCATTGACTGAGAATCACTTTGAAGCAGCCTGAAGCCTGTTGAACACGCAACAGCGCCGCATTGTGACACTGCAACGTGCAGCACTCTTTTTTAATGAAATCATAGCCTTTTGAAGTAATCAGTCTGTATCGCGATTTATGTTTTTTCATCCTCAAATATAAGACATCCTAAAATAATCATTAAGATGTTTGTTTTACCATTTCATGTATTGAAGACTTTATGAAATAAAATTTAAGAAAACTCACCCTGAGGGATTTTGCTTTATTCGCACACGCGCTCCTAAATACATTTTACAGTTCACACAGATCTATTTTTAGTCGCAAGTGCTACTGAAGCGCCCGAGCCCTGTCTCGTCTGTGAAATATCCACCGCAGCGCACGAGGGAATGTCATCGTGAGGAACCAGTTCTCACGCACACAGAACCAGCATGAAACATGTAGGACAAGGGGAGATATTCCACTAGTTAATCGATCGCGGATGTTTTCATTATTTCGATTGGATAAATAAAGTATAAGAGGATAAAAATAATAAAAGCAAAAATGTTTCTCCAAATATACTTGGGCGGCCGTTAATATACCTGGGCGACCCGCCCAAGTAAAGTCTATGCGTGGGAAACCCTGCACACAGACTCTAAGAAGCATTGTGGACTGAGCAGGGCTCTGTACTGAGACCGTTTCATTTGCATTTGCGACCGAAAACTACTGTGTGCGACTATGAAAAAATATTTAGGAGTCCTTAAATCCTTTCATTATAGCCTAATAAACAAAGTGTAGACAGGGTGTAAATAAGAGATTCGTTGTGCTGTGTAGTGAGCTGCGTTGATTATGATGGAACTTTGTGAGATGGGTATGAACTAAGATGAGTGACAGCTTTTAATGATTATTAGCCTAAGAGAGTTTGCAAATGTGATACTGATTTAATACAACACTTCAATAAACAAGTTAATATTAAGTGACTTACACTGTCTGACTTTAATTGTTTCAATTTATACATGTTTTAAGTATGGCAACAGAAAAAAGTCAATGGGAACAGCTTTACTGGGCATTCAGTTGTATTACAGTATGTGACAGTTCAGAGAGCAGAACGGATCCGAAGTGCCAAAACTTGTCTGAACACAAAATTGACACAATGACGTCATAAATATGCTAATTAATATGTGACGTCACCTGCCGCCACAAGTCTCACAAAATCCTGTGAGAAACACTGTATTCGTATAAGAAATCTTTATACTTCTCAGAAATATACTTAAAATTACACTTAAATATACTTAAATTATACTGACAGAAATGTCCAAGTGTTTTTGGACTATACTTGTACTCAATCTTTTGATCGAGATGCACTAAAAAGTAAAATGATTTATTCCAAGTATTCTTTTTATTGACAGGTTTAAGAGAAACTCCTGCATGCCCCTACATTAAACACTGTGATTATACGTTTAAACTGGGATGAGTCATTGTGTTGTTTTGTCATCCTATACAATAGATTTGTTTAAAAATGTTGATGAAAAAAAAAACTGATTAGTTGAGTATGTTAATTAGGGGTGGGAGAAAAATTGAAACATAACGATTTAAAAAGATGTTAAGATTTTTTTTTAAAGTCTAATTAATTAAAAAAAAAAGAAAAAAAGGTAGATTCCCACACCTAATGTGAACGTGAAGTTTACTTTAAAAGTACAGTTAAACGTGTATAGCAACTTAACTATATACTTAGTGCAAAAATTATGTACAAATAGTTAACTACAAGTATGTTTTTGCTTATTACTAAACTAGTAGTTCACCAAGTAAATTTCAAAGAGTACTTTCATAAACTAAATATTGTGCTATTTAACTAGTAAACTATCAGTATACATTTGAGTTCACTTGTAGTATAGTTGCTGTACAAATGAAAACACAGTTGTAAATAGGGCTGTCACGATTCCTTGAACTGTCAGCTGTGGATATTGGCAATATCGTTAACAGTTCTCGTTTATAATCATTAGCCTACTAATATGGCTGCTTCTTATTAAGATCTTATGCTGCGTTCTGTTAATGAATAAACTTCATATTAGCCTATTTGTAGCGCACTTGCCGTCCAGTAATCGCAATAAGCTTTGTGCTTTGTTACCTTTCAATAAACAAAGTGTCCGCTTTAAAATTATGCCAAATTGGTTTTGGCGCTCTTTAATGCGGCAGGCGCGATCGCTTTAGCGCCTCAGTTCAAGTGGCAAGTAAACCCATTATTTTATCTTTTTCTTTATTACTATAGTACATAAGGAACATGAATTAACATCAAAAGGTAGGCTATTTTATAAGAGAGCCTACAGTAGCCTACAACTTACTGAAATGTCTCATGTAATCACTCATTCAGTGTTTCAGACTGCGGAAAACGTGTAAAGCTTGTAAACATTGCCACGTAACAATACATTTACCTCAGAATAACCATTCGGCATCCATAAGCTCATCAGTCAGCTAGAAAAATAAATAAAAAGAGGAACATTTTGCTGTATTTATGTGCTATTGCATATTCATATTTTTACTTAACCGTTTGTCTACATGATAAGAAAGAATGCAAGCTAAAGATAAAATTCAACACCTCCTGTAAAACAGCATTTTACTAATAAAGAAAAACTGACTAGATGTGTGAAAGACATAACAACATTTATAGGATGCATTGAGGAGGAGCCCAAACTACACTCAGTGGCCAAGTGATACTTCTACAGTCCATGATATTGGTGCAGATTCTGTGTAATAAATAATTATTTGTAACTGTATATTTCAAGTTAGAAAAGATGTTTAGTTCCCACTTTAAGTGAACCGTAGTTCCCAGGACATCTACAAGATGAATTAAAGTGCTGCTAAATAAAAAAAAATATGAGACATAAACACACGACAGTATGATTTAAATGTTAAATGTAAAAAATATATTATATAACATGTTCATTCTGTCGCACCTGAAAAAATAATTTGGCGCCTAAGTTTGTTTCTTACAGGAGCCAATGGCTCCTTGCTCTATTTTTTTTGTCTGGAGCCATGTTTACCGTTTTTCAAGGCTGCATGATATTAAACCCATTTAAAAATCATACTGTGAATTCACAAATGCTATGCTTCAAATATGTGATGCAGGTTTAATGTATGAGCTTTAATTATTTACATGCATGTAGGTTACATACGCACAAATCAGAGCGGCTCCGTTCACAGTAAATGCTGCTCCGCACAAAGAGTTATAATTTACGTGTGGATGTAGCGTCTCAAACTCCATCTCTGCATACTGTTGAGTTTGAGTTTATTATAACGTACACCTGGGAACGCAACGTGCGCCATTTAATCAGATTTGTAAGATAAATCATTTCTAAACCTACATGAACACAGGAGAATGCTAGGGATGTCCCGATCAGGGATCCCCTGATCCGGTCCGAGTCATTGAATAATGAGTATCTGCTGATACCGAGTCCCGATCCGATACTGGTATATTCCTATAGGAATGTATGTTTGGTGCATACTTAAAGTACATTAAAGTTTTTAAAATCAAGTTGTTGCAGAGAGTAAAAGTAATATATGTATGTAAATATAATATAATAATATGTCATCTGGTAATATATAATTATTAGATACTTTATGCACACATAAAAGACTTTGGTAGATGTAAACATGTTACAATGGTAGACATTGTAAACAGACTGTGTGTGGTTTAGATTATGAAAATGGCACTGCTGATATAAACTTTTTGTATTATATATGTACAATAAGCATCGTAAGTAACTCCATTTGCCTCCAAATCTCAGGTGAAAATTATTTTTCAATATTTCGAAATTTTAAATTATTTGTAAAAGTAATGCCTAGTAAATAATCTTACATTTCTCACTGTACATTGCTCTTCTTGTTATGGTGGAGCCTTATGATGAAACTGTTACTCATCAGTTGCTCAGAAACATTTTTTACATTTTTACAAGGCATGGATGTGACAATCTGATGCATGCGACAAACATCTTCCCAAATTCGTAATGAGAAACATTTATAAATCTGCTGTTGTCAACAGAAAGAAGCACTAAGAACTTCCCGCAGCTTTCCGCCAAAATAAAAGCTGAGAAAAAGCAGGAACTCCAACATTGATAAATGTTAGTATTGTAATTTTTCTGTTGTACTGTAAAATAAAATAAAATAGACAATAATAATTGCAATAATAATGAAAACAGCTCTATTA